TGATTCAAGCCACGTGTTATGTTTTGCGTTTATATTTTTGGCAAATGTGAACAGAGATTGTTATTTCATGTTAAGTTAATGGGAGGAAACAGGGGAACCCCGCAGGGAAAAACACGTGTAACATGGGGAGCACATACAAACTCCACACTCCTCACTCACCCTGCAGAACAGGGGGAGAACACACAAACTCCACACTCACACCTGGAGAACAGGAGGAGAACACACAAACTCCACACTCACCCACACTCACACCCTGCAGAACAGGAGGAGAACACACAAACTCCACACTCACCCACACTCACGTCCTGCAGAACAGGAGGAGAACACACAAACTCCACACTCACACCTGGAGAACAGGAGGAGAACACACAAACTCCACACTCACCCACACTCACGTCCTGCAGAACAGGAGGAGAACACACAAACTCCACACTCACGTCCTGCAGAACAGGAGGAAAACACACAAACTCCACACTCACCCACACTCACACCCTGCAGAACAGGGGGATAACACAAACTCCACACTCACACCCTGCAGAATAGGGGAGAACACACAAACTCCACACTCACCCACACTCACCCACACTCACGGCCTGCAGAACAGAGGCAGAACACCCAAACCCCACAATCACCCACACTCACCCACACTCACGCCCTGCAGAACAGAGGGAGAACACACAAACTCCACACTCACACCCTGCAGAACAGGGGGAGAACACACAAACGCCACACTCACCCACACTCACTTCCTGCAGAACAGAGGGAGAACACACAAACTCCACACTCACACCCTGCAGAACAGGGGGATAACATACAAACTCCACACTCACCTACACTCACACCCTGCAGAACAGGGGGATAACATACAAACTCCACACTCACACCTGGAGAACAGGGGGAGAACACACAAACTCCACACTCACCCACACTTACGTCCTGCAGAACAGGGGGAGAACACACAAACTCCACACTCACCCACACTCACGTCCTGCAGAACAGAGGGAGAACACACAAACTCCACACTCACCCACACTTACGTCCTGCAGAACAGGGGGAGAACACACAAACTCCACACTCACCCACACTCACGTCCTGCAGAACAGAGGGAGAACACACAAACTCCACACTCACCCACACTCACGTCCTGCAGAACAGAGGGAGAACACACAAACTCCACACTCACCCACACTCACGTCCTGCAGAACAGCGGGAGAACACACAAACTCCACACTCACCCACACTCACGTCCTGCAGAACAGAGGGAGAACACACAAACTCCACAGTCACCCACACTCACGTCCTGCAGAACAGCGGGAGAACACCCAAACCCCACACTCACCCACACTCACGTCCTGCAGAACAGGGGCAGAACACACAAACTCCACACTCACACACACTCACACCCTGCAGAACAGGGGCAGAACACGCAAACTCCACACTCACCCACACTTACGTCCTGCAGAACAGGGGCAGAACACGCAAACTCCACACTCACCCACACTCACGTCCTGCAGAACAGGGGAGAACACACAAACTCCACACTCACTCACGTCCTGCAGAACAGGGCAGAACACACAAACTCCACACTCACCCACACTCACGTCCTGCAGAACAGGGGCAGAACACGCAAACTCCACACTCACCCACACTCACGTCCTGCAGAACAGGGGAGAACACACAAACTCCACACTCACCCACACTCACACCCTGCAGAACAGGGGCAGAACACACAAACTCCACACTCACCCACACTCACGTCCTGCAGAACAGGGGCAGAACACACAAACTCCACACTCACCCACACTCACACCCTGCAGAACAGGGGCAGAACACACAAACTCCACACTCACCCACACTCACGTCCTGCAGAACAGAGGAAGAACACACAAACTCCACACTCACCCACACTTACGTCCTGCAGAACAGAGGAAGAACACACAAACTCCACACTCACCCACACTCACGTCCTGCAGAACAGGGGAGAACACACAAACTCCACACTCACCCACACTTACGTCCTGCAGAACAGAGGAAGAACACACAAACTCCACACTCACCCACACTTACGTCCTGCAGAACAGAGGAAGAACACACAAACTCCACACTCACCCACACTCACGTCCTGCAGAACAGGGGAGAACACACAAACTCCACACTCACCCACACTTACGTCCTGCAGAAACAGAGGGAGAACACACAAACTCCACACTCACCCACACTTACGTCCTGCAGAACAGAGGGAGAACACACAAACTCCACACTCACCCACACTTACGTCCTGCAGAACAGAGGGAGAACACACAAACTCCACACTCACCCACACTCACGTCCTGCAGAACAGGGGAGAACACACAAACTCCACACTCACCCACACTTACGTCCTGCAGAACAGAGGGAGAACACACAAACTCCACACTCACCCACACTTACGTCCTGCAGAACAGAGGGAGAACACACAAACTCCACACTCACCCACACTTACGTCCTGCAGAACAGAGGAAGAACACACAAACTCCACACTCACCCACACTCACGTCCTGCAGAACAGGGGAGAACACACAAACTCCACACTCACCCACACTCACGTCCTGCAGAACAGGGGAGAACACACAAACCCCACACTCACCCACACTCACGTCCTGCAGAACAGGGGCAGAACACACAAACTCCACACTCACTCACGTCCTGCAGAACAGGGGCAGAACACACAAACTCCACACTCACCCACACTCACGTCCTGCAGAACAGGGGGAGAACACACAAACTCCACACTCACCCACTCTCACGTCCTGCAGAACAGGGGGAGAACACACAAACTCCACACTCACCTACACTTACGTCCTGCAGAACAGGGGGAGAACACCCAAACCCCACACTCACTCACGTCCTGCAGAACAGGGGGAGAACACACAAACCCCACAATCACCCACACTCACCCACACTCCCGTCCTGCAGAACAGGGGCAGAACACTCACACTACACACTCACCCACACTCACACCCTGCAGAACAGGGGCAGAACACACAAACTCCACACAGAAAGGGTCGGGGGGGGGGGGATCGAACCGAGGGACTTCTTTGCTGGGAGGCGTCTACTGCGCAGCCCTCCTGTCCCCCTAATTAGCATAATCAGAATTAATTAATTTAATGTAGAACTTACCCCCCCCCCCTTCCAAAATCCAATTTCACCCGCCGCGTATCACGTGTGACCAATTGGCCTAATTGCCTCTCGCTCTCATGCCCACTCTGCCGATTTGTCATGCGCCGCGCCAATTGATTTCCCACGTGGGTGGCCGATTGCGGATCGCTCCCAACTATTTTCCGCTCCACTCTTACGCCCGTCGATGATGGCAGCAGTAAAAGTCCCCGCGGCTCGATGCTCAATGTGGAGGGGTTCTCCTCCCCCCGCTGCTGCTGCCCGCCACGATTCGAAGGCAGCTGTAGCAGCAGCATAGGTTTGTGTGTTCTACCCCTGTTCAGCAGAGAGAGTGGGTGGGTGATTTTTATTTTATTTTTATTTTATTGTTATTTTATTTAATTTTTATTAAATTATATTTTTATTTAATTTTTATTTTATTTTATTTTTATTTATTTATTTTTATTTTTATTACATTTTTATTTTACTTTTATTAATTTTTTTTACCTACGTGACTTTACCGAAAAAACCCAAAAATATTAATCCTTGCAGTCACGAAAGCTTCAAATTTAGAATTAATGGGTGTATGTATTTATAGAGTTTGTATGTTCTCACCCCCTGTTCTGCAGAATGTGCGTGAGTGGGTGTATGGAGTTTGTATTCTCTAACCTTGCTCTGCAGAGAGTGAGTGAGTGTTTGTGTGGAGTTTGTGCGTTCTCCTCCTGTTCAGCAGACTTGACTTTTAAACAACTTTTATTGCCGCCAGCAGCAACAGCAGAGAGTGAGTGAGTGTGAAGTTTGTGTGTTCTCTCCCTGTTCAGCAAAGAGTGTGAGGGTGGGGAGGGGTTTGGGTGGGGAGGGTGGGGAGGGTGGGGCTGGGTGGGGAGGGTGTGGAGGGGCTGGGTGGGGAGGGTGGGGTTGGGTGGGGTGGGGAGGGTGTGGAGGGGCTGGGTGTGGAGGGTGGGGAGGGGCTGGGTGCAAAGAGTGGGGCTGGGTGGGGGGTGGGAGGGGTGGGGCTGGGTGGGGAGGGGCTGATCACCCCGTGGTTCCATTATAAAATTCAACGTTTAACCTACTCACGCCGGCTTGTGCCCGCCCTCACAGTCGGACATATTTGCGGAATACACCACGCCGCCGTTGACCCTGGCCATTGACCGAGCAACCCAACGTTCCTACCAGCTCCCTCCGCAGGAATGTGTTTATTAATGCCACGCACTGTGTTACTGACGAGTAGTTCGGTTGTCACTCGCAATATATGTTAGTCGGCTATGGGTCTCTGAGTTCGTGAGTCTCCAAGTGAGTCTATGGGTCTCCGTGTAAGTTCGTGGGTATCCGAGTGAGTCTATGGGTCTCCGTATAAGTTAATGAGTCTCCGAGTGAGTCTATGGGTCTCCGTGTAAGTTCGTGAGTCTCGGAGTGAGTCTATGGGTCTCGGAGTGAGTCTATGGGTCTCTGTGCGAGTCTGTGGCTAAAATAAACAAACAACGACAACAAAAACAACGACGGCTGTGTGTGTGTGTGTGTCTGGGTGGTGCGTGCAGGTGGGGGAGCGGTGGCGCAGCGGTTAGCGCGCCGCGCTGCTGAACCCAGCGACCTGAATTCGATTCTCACTCACGGCTAACGCCGGTGACGATTATCTGAACCGGTTCTGAGCCTCCCCTAGGTCGACTTAGGCATCAAATGAGTACCTGGTGCGGTGTTTAAACATCGCCACTGGGGAGACAAAGACGGCCGGGCGCGGTGTTGGCCACCCACCCCCTCGTGTGCCGCGTGCCGGCCTTCACAGGCGCTCCTCGCTGACAGCACTTGGCCCAGCAGTCCGCTAAGGCTACACGGGGGAATATCTTTGTCTTTGGTGCATGCAGATACGACATCATGCACCTGCAGAACCTGAGCCACGACGACTACGACTACATCAACGTGGGCAGCTGGGAGAGCGGGGAGCTGCGCATGGACGACCACATGATGTGGACCAACCACAGCAAACTCGTGCGCTCCGTGTGCAGCGAGCCATGTGGCATCGGCCACATCCGAGTGAGTCTCCCCCACTCACGGGGTCACACGATACCAACCCCACCCACAGGGCCACACGGCACCGCTGCTGCTACGATGCCTCCTCCTCCCTCCTCCTCCCTCCTCCTCCTCCCTCCTCCTCCTTCCTTCCCCCTCCTCCTCCTCCGCAGTATTTGTGAGTCGCGGCATCGAGATGTCCATACGTTCCGTGGTTCGACTGGAGCGTTTTTATTTTCATTTTAACCAGGGTAAGGCCCAGAAGCGACCTTGGCCATACATGATAAGCTCAGCGATGTGGCTTGTCATCGTGTGGACATTTATAGCAGCCAAATACTAAAAAAAACACCCGCACGTTGATTCTGAACGTGGAGGGAAAAACTGGAGGAGTGGGAGAAACATCCACGCCACCACGTGGAGAGAGGGCAACACTCCAAATATCCAGCAGCAGGCGTCAGGATCGTGCTCGAACCCACGAGACCTCCTGCATACCAGGCGAGGTAGTTCACATCTCCTAGCCACCGTGATGATGATGATGAGAGAGAGACACACAAACTCCAAATATACAGCAGCAGGCATCAGGGTCGGGCTCAAACCCACGACCTCCTGCATACCAGGCGAGGTAGTTGACATCTAGCCACCGTGATGATGAGGGAGACACACAAACTCCAAATATACAGCAGCAGGCGTCAGGGTCGGGCTCAAACCCACGACCTCCTGCATACCAGGCGAGGTAGTTGACATCTCCTAGCCACCGTGATGATGATGATGAGAGAGAGACACACAAACTACAAATATACAGCAGCAGGCGTCAGGGTCGTGCTCGAACCCACGACTTCCTGTGTACCAGGCGAGGTAGTTCACATCTCCTAGCCACCGCGGCTTGTCTGACGGAGCACCTCTGCGTCTGTCGGCGTGTGCCCGCCAGGTGATCCGCAAGGGCGAGGTGAGCTGCTGCTGGGTGTGCACCCCCTGCAAGGACAACGAGTTCGTGCTTGACGACTTCACGTGCCAGGCGTGCAGGCTGGGCTGGTGGCCCAACGCTCAGCTCGCTGGTCAGTGGGCCTCACCACCCCCATCACCCTCCTCCCTCCCCCCGACATCGTCGTCATCATCATTGTCATCGTCGTCATCGTCGTCATCATCGTCGTCGTCATCATTGTCATCATCATCTTCGTCGTCATCATCATCACCACTGTCATCGTCATCATCATCATCAACGTTATCACTGTCATCGTCGTCTTCATTGTCGTCGTCATCATCATCATTGCCGTCGTCATCATCGTCATCATCGTCATCATCATCATCATCATTGTCATCGTCATCATCGTCGTCATCATCATCATTGTCATCGTCGTCATTGTCGTCATCATCATCATCATCATCACTGTCATCGTCGTCGTCTTCACCATCGTCGTCATCATCATCATTGTCATCGTCACCATCGTCGTTTTCACCGTCGTCGTCATCATCATCATTGTCATCGCCTTCATCATGGTCGTGGCGTGCCGCGCTCACACAACCGTGCAACGCCTCCGCTTTACAACATCGTCATCATCATTGTCATCGTCATCATCATTGTCATCGTCATCATCGTCGTCTTCACCGTTGTCGTCATCATCGCCCGGGCTGCTCCGCGATCAGCGCGAGCGGCTCGCATGCAGAAGGGGGAGCCCATAGGGGTACCCTCATTCTGTTTGTAGAAGGTGCCGTTCCAGGTAAAATAAGTGTTGGTGAGACAATGTCTAACCAGCGCAGGTACATCCGAATTCAATCCATGTTGGACCAAGTCCTCAATTATTGTTAGGGTGTCAGGTACTGGGACCTTGGTAAACAGAGATACTACATCAAAACTGACGAGGATGTCATCAGGAGATAGTACCATGTCCTTGACCTAGTTTACACAACAAAGGCTCATTCCTAGCAGCGTGCTTCAGCCGCACAGAAGCTCACAAAAATTATATTCAGGGCCTACCTTGGCTCCTCCCACCCTCAACCAGTATATAGACAAATACGTTTTTTTGGGAATTTCTCTCACTTGATACAGCTATCGTGCTGTGACTGTTCCACCTGAAGACGGAAGTTTGTGTTGCCTCCGAAACGTCGTGATTTTTATTTTATTTTACTTTTTTAATTTTTTATCCAAGTTAACTTTACCGAAAAAACTTAAGAATATGAATCCTTGCAGTCACGAAAGCTTCAAATCTAGGATTACTTATTTACTTGATTACAACTCTACGCGAGCCCAGTATAAAGCACCGAGCACGATGCAAGGTGGGAGGGGGCAGAAACTCCATGCATAATAGAGGTTTGTTTTGGGTTAGATCGCGTAAATATATAAATGTGTCGTTAAATTATTGCTGTCGCCTGATGAAGCTGGTTGTAATTATTGCGAAACGTCGTACTCAGATTGTAAATGGTGTGGCTTGGCTCTCCAACACACCGGTTAGTTCTGTACTAGTATACTACACTATACACTACATTATACACTATACTCTACACTACACTATACACTAGTGTTGTACTAGTGACGAATTGGCCACGTTCTGTTTACGTGACAACCCTTACTAGTTGGCTGTGTCGGGTGGTGGCGGGTTTTAACGACACATTTATATATTTATGCGATCTAACCAAAAAAAACTCTATTATGGATGATATTGGTCGTGAAAGCCTGCCACGTGTTTAAAGAAACTCCATGGACAAGAAGGACCCGCTCCTTTGCTTCCAGGAGTTTAAAGAAAGAGGGAGGGTAGGGGAAGATTTGGGCTCTCCGTCTCACCTACCTGGGGATCAACACTATGGGGACCTCATTTACCAGTAAAAATATGATAATTGGTTCTTTACCCTTCTATCTGGCAACAAAACTGACACCTTTTGGCGTCTTCTGGTCCAACCCATGTGAGACTAGGCTCTAAGGAAAGCTGTCTCGGGTGTGGACCAATCAACTTCAAGGACAGTGCACATTATCAGAGTTATGTCGTTTGTTTGTATTTATGACTGCAGGTATTGCGGTCTATGCAAACATGACTCCTTGTAAAAAGGTGTCAGTTTTGTTGCCAGATAGAAGGGTAAAGAACCAATTATCATACCTGGGGATCGTCAGCAAGAGCGTGGAAGTTTAAAGTTGATACGAGGAGGGAAGGATTGGGGGCGAGATGACTCCCATCCAGGGGAAAAAGGGATGGGGGAGGAAGGGGAGGGTGGGGCGGTGGGTTATTTATTCATTATTCGTACCTGTGCGCCTCTGCCAAGGCATCAAAAAGCATCGTCACCAAATGACGTTGTTAAATTACGAAGGTGTCCCAGTGAACATGGCAACGTTGGCTCAACGTTGGCACGTGGTTGGAACCATTGGGCGGGCGAACGTTGGGTGAACGTTGGGTGAACGTTGGGTGAACGTTGGGTGAACGTTGGGTGAACGTTGGGTGAACGTTGGGTGAACGTTGGGTGAACGTTGGGTGAACGTTGGCCCTATGCCGGCTCAAGGTTCACCTGGTGTTGGTGCGTGGTTGCAACCATTGTTTCTCACGTTGAGCTAACGTTGGCTGAACGTTCGCACGTGGTTGTAACCATTGGGCGAACGTTGGGTGAACGTTGGGTGAACGTTGGATCCATGCCGGTTCTACGCCGACTAGGTGTTGGCGCGCGGTTGCAACCATTGTTTTCTAACGTGGAGCCAACGTTGGTTGTCTCAATGTTCGGCACGTGTCGTTGGAACCCGTTGGCCCAATGTTGATGTTGACTACGATCATCACCAACCTAACAACAATCTCTTCCATCATCATCATCATCATCTCACCACCATCATCATCGGTCCACCATCATCATCATACCACCACCATGATCATTATCATCACTCCACCACCACTATCATCATCATTATCATCATCATCATCACTCCACCACTACCATCATCATCATCATCACACCACCACCATCATTATCATCATCATTACTTCACCACCACCATCATCATTATCATCATTACTCCACCATCACAATCATCATCGCTCCACCACCACCATCATCTCACCACCACCACCACCACCATCATGATCACTCCACCACCACCATCATCATTATCATCATTACTCCACCATCACAATCATCATCATCGCTCCACCACCACCACCACCATCACACCACCACCATTATGATTATCATGACACCACCATCATTATCATCATCGCTCTGAAATCACCACCACCACCATCACCATCATCATCATCATCATCACACCATCACACCATCACACCACCACCACCATCATACCACCACCACCATCATCACACCATCATCATCATCACACCATCACACCATAACCACCACCACCATCACACCACCACCATCATCAACATCATCATCATCGTCACACCATCACACCATCACACCACCACCATCATACCACCACCACCATCATCACACCATCATCATCATCACACCATCACACCATAACCACACCACCATCACACCACCACCATCATCAACATCATCATCATCGTCACACCATCACACCACCACCACCATCATACCACCACCACCATCATCACACCATCATCATCATCACACCATAACCACCACCACCATCACACCACCACCATCATCAACATCATCATAATCGTCACACCATCACACCATCACACCACCACCACCATCATACCACCACCACCATCATCACACATCATCATCATCACACCATCACACCATAACCACCACCACCATCACACCACCACCATCATCAACATATCATCATCGTCACACCCTCACACCATCACACCACCACCACCATCATACACCACCACCATCATCACACCATCATCATCATCACACATCACACCATAACCACCACCACCATCACACCACCACCATCATCAACATCATCATCATCGTCACACCATCACACCATCACACCACCACCACCATCATACCACCACCACCATCATCACACCATCATCATCATCACACCATCACACCATAACCACCACCACCATCACACCACCACCATCATCACACTCATCATCATCGTCACCCCATCACGCCATCACACCACCACCACCATCATACCACCACCACCATCATCACACCATCATCATCATCACACCATCACACCATAACCACCACCCACCATCACACCACCACCATCATCAACATCATCATCATCGTCACACCATCACACCATCACACCACCACCACCATCATACCACCACCACCATCATCACACCATCATCATCATCACACCATCACACCATAACCACCACCATCACACCACCACCATCATCAACATCATCATCATCGTCACACCATCACACCATCACACCACCACCACCATCATACCACCACCACCATCATCACACCATCATCACCATCACACCATCACACCATAACCACCACCACCATCACACCACCACCATCATCAACATCATCATCATCGTCACACCATCACACCACCACCGCGTGCGCAGGCTGCGACGCCATCCCCGTGCAAGTACTTGCAGTGGAGCGACCCCGGAGGCCATCGCCGCCGTGGCGTTCGCGTGCGCGGGGCTCCTGGCCACCGCCTTCGTCACCCTCATCTTCGTGGCCTTCCGCGACACGCCCGTCGTCAAGTCGTCGAGCCGCGAGCTTTGCTACATCATCCTGGCGGGCGCGGGCCTCGGCTACGCGTGCACCTTCGCCCAGGTGGCGAGGCCCACGCAGGCCGGCTGCTACTTTCGGCGCATCGCCGTGGGCCTCGCCTCGGCCATGATGTACTCGGCGCTCGTGACGAAGACGAATCGCATCGCGCGCATCCTCGCCGGCAGCAAGAAGAAGATCTGCACGAAGAAGCCGCGCTTCATGACCACGTGCGCGCAGCTCGTCATCGCCTTCATGCTCATCGGCGTCGAGGTGGCCATCGTGGTGGCGCTCGTGCTCATGGAACCGCCCGAGGTGATCCCCGACTATCCGAGCCCACGCGAGGTGCAGCTCATCTGCCACACGTCCAACCTCGCGGTGGTGGCACCGCTCGGGTTCAACGGGCTGCTCATCATGAGCTGCACCTACTACGCGTTCAAGGTGGGGTTCGCGTGTGCGCGGTCATGGTTAGGGATGCGGTGGGGATTGACGTCGTCATCGTTGTCGTCGTGATGATGATGATGACCACGTGGATCATCGTTGTCATTATCATCATCATGATCACGTGGATCATCATTGTCATCATCATGGAGATCATCGTCATCATCATTATCATGCGGATCATCATTGTCATCATCATGATCACGTGGATCATCATTGTCATCATCATGGAGATCATCGTCATCATCATCATGATCACGTGGATCATCATTGTCACCATCATCATCACGAGCTGCACCTATTTCCCATTCAAGGTGGGACACGGTTCGCGTGGGGGGGAGGGGGGGGTGGTGTCGGGGTCACGGTAACGGTGTGGTCGTGATTGATGTCGTCGCCGTGATGGTGAAGATCGTCATCACATGGATCACCGTTTTCATCATCATCATTATCATCGCGCACTTATAGAGCATCGCGCGATTTCAGATGCTCTTCTGCGGCCGTCTGGAACGCTCTTCCTTGTGACATTAGGAAGCCGCAGGGGCCATCCAATTTGAAATCATCGAGGTGGAAAACTCATTTCTCTTAGAGCTGCTTTTTGTGTTTAGTTTGTTGTCCTTCCCCCGCACCTCCGATTCACCATGGATACATCATCATCATCATGTAGATCATCATTATCATCATCATCATATAGATCATCATTATCATCATCATCATGTAGATGATCATTGTCATCATCATCATGTAGATCATCATTATCATCATCATCATGTAGATCATCATTGTCATCATCATCATGTAGATCATCATTGTCATCATCATGTAGATCATCATCGTCATCACCATCATCACATGGATCATCATTGTCACTCTCATCATCATCGCCATCTCCATCATCATATTTGTTACAATCATAACCTTCACAATAATCATCACCACAGTCATTGGCGTTATCAACATCTTTAAAGTTGTCGTCATCATCATTGTTATTGTTCTTTCGTTGCTCACACAATCTTGTCGTAACCATCATCACAATCATGATCACAACATCATCATCATGCCCGTCATCATTGCTGTCAGCCATGGTCTTATCCACTGTTGCATTAATGCATAATGAACAAAACAATCTCTTCTAAAATAGATTTAAATTGCAAATCTACTTACACATTCGTCAGCAACACTGCGTGGCCTTTAAAGGCAAAAAAATAAAACAATTGGCGACGTCCCGGGCAATTGCCCTTCTTCATGGGGCATAACAATTGCTAAATCGACTCGTGTGCAGTCGCTGGACAGACCACTGCATCTCAAGTCACCGAGTGATGGCTCGAGTGGTGTGATTCAATCGAGCAGTGGATAGATCATGCCTGCTACTGACGATGACGATTATATTTTTTATGGCATAACTGTGCTGGCGTGCGTAGATGTTGTTGTCGTTGTTGCTAAAGGATGGATCCGCCCGTGGTGGTGAGGGTGTGTGTGTGAGCCCCAAGCTGTATGTATGCTGAACTTCTTTCGCGCCGTACGTAACCAACCGTGTTTCGCGGGGAGCGGTTGCGTAGTGGTTAGCGCTGCATTGCTTCTATCGAACCCGGCACAGAAAACCCGAGTTCGACTCCCGCTCATGGCCTCCCCTAGGTCGGCTCAGCCTCAAATACGTACCTGATGCGGTGTGTAAACAGCAACACTGGGGAGACAAAGGCGGCCGGGCGTGGTGCTGGCAACCCACCCCCTCGTGTGCCGTGCCGGCCTTCATAGGCGCTGCTCGCTATCAGCACTTGCCCCAACAGTCTGTTAAAATCTACACGGGGAATCTTTAAATGTGTGTGTGTGAAGCTAAATCACATGAATCAACAGCGCAGATGTAGGATTGGCAGGCGGTTGTCGTGAGACTTTAAGCAAAAGGCAAATTGTAATGGATGGGTGGCGAGAGAAGGGCAGGTAATGAGATGCGAAGCCTAGCGGCACAGAGTGAGAGGGATGAGGGATGGGGTCTGCGTGTGTGTGGGTGTGTGTCTGTGTGTGTGGGTCTGTGTGTGTGTGTGTGTCTGTGTGGGTGTGTGTGTGGGTCTGTGTGTGTGGTTCTCTGTGGGTGTGGTTCTGTGTGTGTGGGGGTCTGTGTGTGTGTGGGGGTCTGTGTGTGTGTGGGTGTGTGTGTGGGTCTGTGTGTGTGTGGGGGTCTGTGTGTGTGTGGGTGTGTGTGTGGGTCTGTGTGTGGTTGTGTGGGGTCTGTGTGTGTGGTTCTCTGTGGGTTGTGGGTGGTTCTGTGTGTGTGGGGGTCTGTGTGTGTGTGGGGGTCTGTGTGTGTGGTGTGTGTGGGTCTGTGTGTGTGTGGGTCTGTGTGTGTGGTCTCTGTGGGTGTGGTTCTGTGTGTGTGGGGGTCTGTGTGTGTGGGGGGGTCTGTGTGTGTGTGGGTCTGTGTGTGTGGCTCTGTGTGTGTGGGTCTGTGTGTGTGTGGGTCTGTGTGTGTGTGGGTCTGTGTGTGTGTGGGCGTGCGTCTGTGTGTGTGTGGGTGTGGCTCTGTGTGTGTTGGTCTGTGTGTGTGGCTCTGTGTGTGTGTGGGTCTGTGTGTGTGTGGGTCTGTGTGTGTGTGGGTCTGTGTGTGTGTGGCGTGCGTCTGTGTGTGTGTGGGTCTGTGTGTGTGTGGCTCTGTGTCTCTGCACGTGTGTGTGTCTGTGCGTCGACGGAACCACCCGTCAGTAACTCCGTGCGTGGCCGCAAAAACAAAAGATGTTTCAGGCAATGACCCTTCCTCGCAGCGCATACGAGAGGCCAGAGAGGTAGGTATAGTGCCCCTTTACCCTTCACCTGCACTGACCAGCGTTGGGCGAGGTCTGGCGAGAGGAACTTGTGCATCTTACCAGCGCCACGTGCATGGGTAGGAAGGACAGGTCTTCTTCATCCAGCAGTGGAATGGCATGACAGAAATCAGCCGTGCGTAGTGCGCGTGCGTGAATGCGGTGGCGCAGTGCTCAGCTCAGAGCGCCGCGCTACGAACCCGGCGACTCGAGTTCGATTCCCGCTCACGGCCAACACCAAGTGACGATTATCTGAACAGGTCCTGGGCCTCCCCTAGGTCGACTCGGCCTCAAACGAGTGCCTGCTGCGGTGTGTAAACATTGTCGGTGTGGATTTACCCCCCCCCCCCCCCACGTATTGCCGTGCCGGCCTTCATAGGTGCTCGCTAACAGCACCTTACCCCAACAGTCCGTTAAACGCTCCGTGTGGGGGATCTTTGTCTTTGCGGGCACGCACACACGTGCATACTGCGTGCCCGCTAAGTGAAATGCATTGATATTTTCGGGAGGCTGCCCAAGCCATTGATTTGGCTGGGCTGGGCCCTGCTTGGGTAGCCGAGATGTTTATTCTCGCATGTGGGGGGGGTAGGCATCTACTGCCGTCGTGGAAGATGGAGACCGCGGTAGAGGCGAGGGGGGCACACGAGGAAGAAGAAAAAAACGACGACGAGAATGAAGATTATAAATTGTGATGTGCAGGCTACGTTAGATTTCGATTTAAAGCTTTCGTGACTGCAGGGATTCATCTTCTTGGTTCTTTCGGTAAAGTCACGTAGAATTGAAATAATAAAATAATACAAATAAACCAATAAAATAATTCTCACGACGTTTCGGCCACAACGCAAGCAGCCGTCCTCAGAACAGGTCTGTCGACAGATCTGCCGACAGACCTGTTCTTCACCTGAGGATGGCTGCTTGCGTTGTGGCCGAAATGTCGTGAGAATTATTTTATTATTTTTATTTTTATTATTTTATTATTTCAATTCTACGTGACTTTACCGAAAGAACCAAGAAGAGGCTACGTTCGATTGCTGGATGTGTGTTGAGATTAAATGCAAAGGGGCTGGGTAGGAATGGGCTTTTGACTGGGACTTAACATTGCCAATAGCCTAATATTGTCCATAGACTAATATTTCACGTAGACTAACATTGCCCATAGACTAACAAGTTATTGAGTAAATATTATGGACAGAGCTCAATGGAAGGAAGGAGATGATTGGTGACTTCTCTGAGAAAGGACGCTGCTCGAGTAGAGAGACAATTAAATATTCCTGGTCAACGCCTTATTATTTTGTTGTTGTTGTTTCAAAGCGAACGAACCAACAAACAGTGGGCAAAGAAACACGGAGAGACGCACGCTTAGAGGCAGAAATAGGAACACGTGGATCAGAGGACACCGTGCATGTGTGAGTTAGGTAGACGGGATCATGTAGAGAGAGACAGAGTTTCTAGGAGGAACCTTCTTAATTAACACCTTCAGGTTCTCGTCCACACACTCTCCACAGGAGCTCAGCCCAGCCTGTACATTACACTAGCAATCCAACACTGACGGCGCCGACTCAGCCAACTCCTCTCCTTCGTAGCGCGATATCGAGTGGAGACGTTTAGCGACGACGGCGACGAGACGACAGCGACGAGTCCACTCCCAGCACTGACAGCCCCGAGCCCCCCGCTCTCGGCTCCTTTTATTCTCCCAGCGCGGCCTGGCTCCGCCCTGACCGCGCCTCCCTTCTCGAAACCTTCTAGCAGGTTCCAGGGACCTCCAGATGGGGTTCTCCTTGACCCTTACCCGAGTGCCTCCCCTCTGCCCACACACCGTGCGTGCTGTGTTTGTCCACCGCAGTTGCCGCCGCTGTCCACCAGCCGGCGCTATTACACTACGCGTGTAAAATGACGATGCACGTGTTGATGTTGAACTTCTTTCGAGTCGGGGATGTGCGGTACCAAGAAACCTCGCTCAGCGCCAGCTCTAGATTCGCCAGTTTCCCACAATTGCATTGTTGTCGTTCCCCCATCGCACGCGTCTCGTTTTCTCCGTGTAAATGTCTCAGTGATTGGCTGCAAACATCTTCATTTGTAGGGGCCCGCAGAGCTTGGGCAACTGTTGGTAGCGCCGGCTGCTCTCCGCGTGGCTGCTGCTGTCTTCCCGCATGTCTGTGGTTCCTCCTACTGGCGCCTCTGAGTCCTCCACTCTCTCTGAGTCGTCCCCTTTATCTCTGAGTCGTCATCTCTCTCTTTGAGTCGTCCTCTCTCCCTCCGAGTCGTCCTCTCTCTCTCCGAGTCGTCCTCTCTCTCTCCGAGTCGTCCTCTCTCTCTGAGTCGTCCCCTTTATCTCCGAGTCGTCACCTCTCTCTCCGAATCATCCTCTCTCTCTCTCTACCTCGCTCTCTGAGTCGTCCTCTCTCTCTCCGAGTCATCCTCCCTCTGTCCGAGTCGTCCTCTCTCCGAGTCGTCCTCTCTCTCTGAGTCGTCCTTTCTCTCTCTAATTCGTCCTCTTTCTCCGAGTCATCCTCTCTTTCTGCGAGTCGTGTATCTCTCTGAGTCGTCCTCTCTCGCTCCAAGTCGTCTTTCTCTCTATCTCTGAGTCGTCTTTCTCTCTGAGTCGTCCTCTCTCCGAGTCCTCCCTTTCTCCGAGTCGTCCTCTCTCTCCTTCTCTCTCTCCGAGCCGCCCTCTCTCTCTCTCCGAGTCGTCCTCCCTCTCTCCGAGTCGTCCTCTCTCTCTCTCCGAGTCGTCCTCTCTCTCCTTCTCTCTCTCTCCGAGTCGCCCTCTCTCTCTGAGTCGTCCTCTCTCTCCGAGTCGTCCTCTCTCTCCGAGTCGTCCTCTCTCTCCTTCTCCCTCTCTCCGCTCGACAGCGACGAGTGAGCACTGCGCAGGGGGCATCGGCACGCGACGGCTTGCGTTCGTCATCACTGTGACGATGACGACAACGCTCATTCCCGTTCCCCGTTCCTCTCCACGTTCTGCTCCCCCCCCCCCTCAACACCCCCCCCCCCCCCCGCCTCGCCCCCCTCCTAACACTCCCCACCCCCGAAAAGACCCGCAACGTTCCAGAGAACTTCAACGAAGCCAAGTATATCGCCTTCACCATGTACACCACGTGCATCGTGTGGATGGCCTTCGCGCCCATCTACTTTGGCAGCAAGTACAAGGTCATCACCATGTGCTTCTGCGTGAGCCTCAGCTCCACCGTGGCCCTCGGCTGCATGTTCCTGCCCAAGGTACGGGCGCACATCGCCGGCTGCACCGGCTTCAAGCGGACCCGGTTTGCGCGCGACTATTGGCTGATGTTGGCGCTGGTCAGGTGGCCCGCGACCCGTCAGCGTGTGTGTGTGTGTCAGCGTGTGCGTGTGTCTGTCTCAGTGTGTGCGTGTGTCTGTGTGTGTGTGTGCGTGTGTCTGTCTCAGTGTGTGCGTGTTTCTGTCTGTCTCAGCGCGTGTGTGTGTGCGTGTGTCTGTCTCAGTGTGTGCGTGTGTCTGTCTCAGTGTGTGTGTCTGTCTCAGCGTGTGCGCGTGGGGAGCGGTGGTGTAGCGGTTAGCGCGCTGTGCTATGAACCCGGCGACCCGGGTTCGATTCCCGCTCACGGCCAACACCAGTGACGATTATCTGAACCGGTCCTGGGCCTCCCCTAGGTCGACTCAGCCTCAAATGGGTACCTGGTACGGTGTGCAAACATCGCCACTGGGGAGACAAAGGCGGCCGGGCGTGGTGCTGGCCACCCACTCCCTCGTGTGCCGTGTCGGCCTTCATAGGTGCTCGCTAACAGCACTTGCCCCAACAGTCTGTTCAGGCTACACGGGGGGTGGGGAGGTGTGAAGGGTGATCTTTTTAAATCCTTTATATTAAGTTCACTTGCTTGCTTGCACGCTTACGACCGTGCAAATCTTTTGGTCGTTTTTTAGCCCACTTCCCGTGATCCAATCGAGCTGACATTTTGCACACAGACTCGTTGTGCGTGACAATGTTTTTTCTTGAAATTTTTTTCCAGAAATGTTACACTTTTTAGGATTTTTTAAAATATTTAATTACCAATTGCTTAATGGTGGCAGGCAATCATCTGACCCATAGGTGGCAGCCATCTCAAGCCAGAGGACGAGAGGACTCTAGCCGCCACGCATATAAAGGATTTATAGTAAAAAACTTTGTTTTTACGGGTAAATTTTTTCTGTGTTTGTCCAGGTGTACATCATCCTCGCTAAGCCGGAGCGCAACGTGCGCAGCGCGTTCACCACCTCGAACGTGGTGCGCATGCACGTGCGTGACGCCAAGCTCACCAGCCGCTCCTCCAGCATCCTGAGCCTCTTCAAGCGCAAGGGATCAGCGGCCGAGCCCGCCTGGTACATCACTCACTCACACACACACACTCATATACACGCATACTGACTCACACACATACTCACTCACACACACACACATACACGCACATACTCACTCACACACACACACGCGTGTACTCATTCACACTCACACACAGACACACTCACACACACGCATACTCACACACACATACTCACTCACACATACACACTCACACACACACATGCGTACTCACTTACACACACATACACGCGTACTCACACACACACACGCACACGCGTACTCGCGTACTCACACACACACGTACGTACTCACACATACACACACACGCGCGTACTCACTCACTCACACACACACACGCGCGCGTACTAACGCACCATCCCCGCCGCTCTCACCGCCGCACAGCCCCAAGTCGAGCTCGTGGGGCCAGGCCGGTCGCGCCGACAAGAGCCCTGGCATCTGGCACCGCCTCTCGGCGCACGTCAAGGGAGACGAGCGGCGCGCCCACGGCGCTGCCACCACCGGCGGCGGCTCCACCGGCTCCGGCGGCGGCTCCGGCTCCGGCGGCGGCTGCGGTGGCGGCAGCGGCGCCGCGACCGCCGGCGGTTCGGGGTGCGCCGGCGGGAACCAGATGGCGGTGATCAAGCCCTTCGCCAAATCGGCCGGGGAGCTGGCGTCGGCGCGCGGCTTCTCGGAGCTTAGCGCCAAGCACCTGTACGACGTCACGGAGGCCGCCGAGGTGTGTGCGTGGTGCGGCTCGCCGGGCTCGCCGGGCTCGCCGGGCACGCCGGGCTCGCCGGGCTCGCCGGGCACGCCGGGAACGCCGCCGCGCGTCCGCACGCGGCACGGCACCCCGCGGCACGTGGCCACGCGGCAGCCGAGGCCGCGGGGCGAACCACAGCACCACGGGCCCCACGGCCACCACGGGGTGCCGCGGTGACGGTGGCGGGCACGCCGCGCACAACCTGCCGCATCCCCCATTTGTCCACCGCCGCCGCCGTCACTCCACCCCACCAACTCCGCTTGCGGGGAGGGGAAACGGTTCCATCGCGAGCATCGTCATCGTAACAAAGCCATGGTCAATCCACCGCCGGATGAAAGCTTCCACCGCCGACTCCACCTGCCGGCAAGCCGTCGCTGCGGGCTGTAGCGATCCACCTCGCGCCTGATTCCATCGCTCCATCTCCGCGCTCGTGGATTTCGTCTCGGACGAACGCGTTCGATTCCTCTTGGGGGAGCGGGCGGGCGGGCGGGGGGGGGGGGCAGCGGGCGGCGGGGTCGGGGCGGTGAAGGGCAACCGACTCATACATTCCATGTGGCCACAATTCATCTTGCATACATCAACATCAACAACAGCCGCGGCAGCGGCATGGACAGCGACGGTACCATCGCCAGCGACGGCAGCGGCGGCAAACTGCACGAACTGCGTCACCGAACGGACAAAACAATTTTTGCAAACAAACAAAAAAAACCTTAAACATTGTTTACAAAAAAAACGAAAAAAAACCGATAATAGACGACGCAAAATTTGGAGCACGGAGCCCGGTCAAAATCTAACGCCCTAACCCATCCCCCCCGTGGCGTGCCCCCCTTCTCTGCCCGCTGTGCGTCCAGGCAGAGGACGAGTCCGGCGCGCCGCGTTTCCCCGCGCCCTACCGAGGCTCGCCCGTCTCGCTGCTCGGCCGGTGCCGTCGCTCCATCGCCGCGGTCACCACGGGCGCGGCCCCCGAGCGCTCCTCCCGCCCCAGTCGGGACCCCACCACCACAGCCACCTCCTCCTCCTCCACCGCCGTCACCGTCGTCGCCGCGGCCGCCCTAGGGCCGAACCGCCCGGGTCGCGATCAACGACGTGGAGGAGGAGGTGGAGGAGGAGGAGGAGGTGGTTGCCGCAGCCAGAACAACAACAACAACGACGGCGACGATGACGATCGCGATTACTGCTCGCGCGGCACGTGCGTCATTGACGATGGCGATGATCGCGTCGACGATGACGAGGACGACGAGGAGGAGGACGATGAAGACGAGGATGAAGACGACGACGACGAGGAGGAGGAGGGCGCGGGGCTGTACGTGTGCGAGCGTCCGCGCAAAAGCAGCTCGTCGCAAGGCTCCCTCACCGAGCAGATCAACAGCGTCGTCAGCCGCTTCGCCTCCAACATCCACGAGCTGAACGCGCTCCTCTCCTCCCCGGGCGCTTTTGCTCGCCGCCCCTCCTCCGGCGCGCCGGACGACCCCTCCGCCGTGCTGTCGGCCCGCGACCTCGCGCTCATGGCGGCGGCCGCGGGAGGCCCCTGCCTGGCGCTGCCTGCGCCGCGTGACCTCTCCCCGGCGCCGGGCACGGCCGAGATGCTGGCCCCGCGCGCCGCCTCGCCCCGCGGCGCGCCGCCCCCCTGCTGCCTCGGTAAGCGCTCGCTGGCCGCGTCCGACGATTCGGTGCTTCCCCGGCCGCAGCAGCAGCAGCAGCTCGGGGGTTGTGGCGCGCCCGCTGCGACGGGCCAGTCCCTGCCGCTGCTGGAGGACGCGGTGCCGTGCGCTGGGCGCCTGCGGTCGCTAGCGCTCGCGGACGAGGAGCCGTCCTCGCCGTGTCTCCTGCCCGGCGCCCTGCATCGACAGTACGGCTCGCAGGGCTACGGCTCGCCACTGCCGCACCACCAGCTGCAACAACAGCAGCAACAGCAGCAGCATCAGCAGAAGCTTCAGCAGCAGCAGCTGAAGCAGCAGCAGCATCAACAGCAGCAGCAGCATCAACAGCAGCAGCAGCAGCATCAACAGCAGCAGCAGCTGCACTGCGGTGGTGTTGGTGGCGGTGGTCGACCACAGTGGTTGATGGACAGTCTCCCACTCACGGCCACTGCTTCGACCATGATGATGCATCATCCGCAGGAGCAGCAGCACCATCAGCAGCAGCAGCACCATCAGCAGCAGCAGCAGCAGCAGCAGATGGAGATCATTGAAATGGGCGCACGCAACAAGAGGCAGCAGCAGCATCCTCAGCAGCAACAACAACATCAACAGCAGCTGATGATGATGCATCAGCAACAGCAGCAGCAGCAGCACTTCTCTCCGCGCTGCCGCTACGCAGAGTCGGCGTGCCCCGTGCCCCCGTGCTGCGTGGCGGCCGGGGTCATGGGCGAGGTGATCGAGGTGGACGTGGAGAGACACCGCAGGGAGAGGAGGCAGAGCCGGGAGAGCCGGGAGAGCAGAGGCAGCATGGGCAGCAGGGAAGGCGCAGCAGCAGCGGCAGCAGCAGCAGCGGCGGCGGGGCCAGCCGGAGCGGGCGGCTTCTTCTACGACGAGCGTTCCTTCACCATCACTCCGCCGTCGCCGTTCCGGGATTCGAACTGCTCCGGCGGGAGTTCGGGCTCCGTGTCGCCCACCTCGGAGTGCCTATCGTACTTCCCGGCGCCGCCCAGCTACGCCGCGCTGCTGCTCAAGGATTACACGCAGAGCTCCTCCTCGCTCTGAGTCTCCCCCGCCGTCACCAACACCGACGACCACGATGATGACGATGAGTTCGTCTCCCGCGCGAGACCGCCCCTGCGCGCACGAGTCTGTCGAGTTGCCCGGCACGCGGTGGATGGAGGGAGGGGCGGGGGGGGTGCAGTTGGCGTGCGGGCCCCGGTGCAAGGTGGGGGGGAGGGGCGGTAGGGTTGGTGGGGGTGGATAAGATGGAGGCTCCTTTTCTCTCTCGCTCTCTCGGTCTCTTTTTTTACGATCAGTGGAAACAAGAAGATGCTCGGTGTATTCGGCACTTTGCTTCGTTCATCATTTCGTAATTTTCTCTTTTTTACATTTTTAAACGTAGCTTTATGTAAAACCCCCACCTCTCGCTCACTCTCTCGCTCACTCTCTCGGTCACTCTCTCGGTCACTCTGTCGCTCACTCTGTCGCTCACTCTCTCGCTCACTCTCTCGCGCTCACTTTCTCTCGCTCACTCTCTCGGTCACTCTGTCGCTCACTCTCTCGCTCACTCTCTCGGTCACTCTGTCGCTCACTCTCTCGCTCACTCTCTCGCTCACTCTCTCGCTCACTCTGTCGCTCACCCTCTCGGTCACTCTCTCGCTCACTCTCTCGCCCTCTCTTTCTCACTCTCTCTCACTCTTGTTCGCTCTCTCTCTCCTCCCGTACAAGTCCGCACCCTGGCTCTCCCCCCACGGACCTCTCGACAACTTCATCATCCCGTCGCTCACCCACCCCCCACCAGCACCCCCACCAGCACCTCCACCAGCACGCCCCCCCCCACCAGCACCATCCCCCACCTCGTAGTCGCGGTACCCTTCGCACCGCCAGCGCACTCCGTGGCTGCTGCCCGCGGGGGGGGCGGGGCGAGAGAAAGGGGGTGGAGTTGAGACGGTGCGCTGTGACGTCACCCCGCAGTGTCGTCACCCCGCGAGGACGGCAGCTTCACGGTGGAGTCGCTCACGTGGGGGGCGTCTTGCGGCCGAACGATCGCCGCCTTACGGCTCAGCGCGGGCTGCCGATGCAACGGCGCGAACGACGCTCAAGGCGTAGAGGAGGCTCCGTCTAGCCGACTTGCTGTCGGTTTAGAACAAAGGCTCGAGGCGTTTGCCATTGACAAACGCCGCGTGGGACCTCGAAGGCGAAATGGTAATGCCCGAGGTGACGTTTCGGGCGACGACCCTTCCTCGCAGCGCACATGGTCGTTTAAAGGGGGAATCGCACGGAACGTTGCACGTATGTATGCTGGACTTCTTTCGCGCCGTACGTAGCCAACCGCGCTAATCGGAGGTGCAGGGGGAAGAAGAACAAGCTGAACGTACGAAAAGCACTTCGAATGAAATACGTTTTCAAAAACGTTGCCCGTTCTATCGATTTATTTATTTCTTCGTATGGCAACACGCGCACGCGCGGTGTACGTGATGAACGTGTTGTTGTGGTTGTTGTTGTTGTTGCTGTTGTTGTTGCTGTTGTTGGCTTTGCTTGCGCACCACTGCCAACGCGGCAGCGGCTGCATGGCCAAGTAATGAATCTCACACTCAGATTATATTATTGGTGCTGGTGGCGGAGGTGATTTCGTTTTTTTTTGTAAAGCGGACTTCTCAAAGAGTCGGAAGCCGATGGAGTTGGGGAGGGGGGGGGTAGGGGAGGGGCTGTTCGTGAAAAGAGAGGAGAGACGTCTACAAAGAAGTGAATTCTGTTGATTTGAAGACGTGTGCGTTGATGGTCGCGAGTACTACTCCTAGCTGCCTTTGTCTCCCCAGTGGCGATGTTTAGACACCGCACCAGGTACTCATTCAAAACCGAGTCGACCTAGGGGAGCCCTAAGGACCGGTTCATATAATAGTCACTTCGTGTTGGCCGTGAGCGAGAATCAAACTCGGATCTCCGCGTCCGTAGGGCAGCGCGCTAACCGTACGCCACCGCTCCACACACACAAACACGTACACAACGACAAAGATCCACCGTATAGCCTGCAACAGACTGATTGGGGCAAGTGACCAAATCAGAGCCGGAACCACGTGTTCAGCTGCCACCACGTGTTCAGCTGCCCAGTTGCAGTCACCAATTCAACAACAACACCATTGTGGGCACCGTCGCCTTGAGAAACAGCTACGACGGTTGTGGCACCGCGGGAGGAAATGAGGGAGGTCAGGGAGAGGAGGAGGAGGTGGTGGTGGTTATGGAGAGAGGGGGTAAGGAAGATGAGGTGGTGGAGTTAGGTGAGGGTTGCGAGGAGGTGAACGATGTGGAGGTTAGGAAAAGGTGGAGGAGGTTGGTGGTGATTGGGAAGAGGAGGTCAAGGAGGAGAAGGTGGAGGTTCGGACGAGGAGTTGGAGGATGTTAGGAAGAGGAGGTGATGGAGGAGATGGAGGTTTGGAAGAGGAGCTGGAGGAGGAGGTGGTGTTAGGAGGAGGTTGATGGCAAGAGGCAGATTGAGTTGACAGCTGGCGCTACAGTCGTATAAATATATGATTGCTTTAAATTCCGTCGTTGACGACAGTCTCTATCCACTTCTCTATTAGTATATATAATTGTTATTCTTCCCCTTGGTAGACCTTGTCGGAATAACAGTGCTCGTGGTCGTGGTGGTGATCAGTGCGCGACTCGAAGGGCGAGCGACCGTGACTCAACATGAGTGGGTGGTGTGTAGTCGTAGTAGCAGTAGCAGCAGGAGCAGCAGCCCTTAACGGCGTCGTGCGGGTGGCTAGTGGTGCATGCGCTTTCGTGTCCCGTCGTGACCGCGTGCCTCTCTCTCTTCTGACGCTCTCACACCTGCAGCGGCCGGGCTCACTCCGTCCCGTGAGTCGGAGCCCCCAGGGGCGCCCGTGCCGTGGGAGATGACGCCACCCACCCACCCACCTGTACAACCGTGAGCCACCGTTGTGCAGTGTTTGTCGCAGTTGTGCTGTACCGTTCTATGGCTCTCTGTGCGGGGTGCGCGCGCCACGGATGGCCGGAGCTTTAGGCTCTTGAAGACGCTTCCGGCGCGTGACGCGTCAATGTCGGAATATTGGGCCGAGGACTCAGGTCCAATCGGATGGACGCGTGTCACGTTGTGTTCAACAGCCAGGTTACAACAACGCACTCACTCACCCACACACTCACGCAGCCACTCGGCCACATCCACTCATTTATCTACTCACACACTCACCCACTTACACACTCATCCACTCACTCACCTACACACTCACGCAGCCACTCGGCCACATATCCACTCACGTATCTACTCATCCACTCACCCACTGACTCACCCACTCATCCACTCACTTATCTACTCACCCACTCACACACTCACCCACTTACACACTCACCCACTCACTCACCTACACACTCACGCATCCACTCAGCCACATATCCACTCACTTATCTACTCATCCACTCACCCACTGACTCACCCACTCATCAACTCACTTATCTACTCACCCACTCACACACTCATCCACTCACTCATCTACTCACACGCAGACTCGCCCACTCACCCACTCATCCACTTACTCACACTTGCACTCATCCACTCACTCACTCATCCATCGACTCATCCACTCACTCACCCATTCACACACTCATCCACTCACTCATCTACTCACACGCAGACTCGCCTTCTCACCCACTCATCCACTCACTCACTCACTCATCCATAGACTCATCCACTCACTCACCCACTCACTCACCCACCCACTCACCACACTGCAGGTCACCTCACGTCTCTCTCTCTGCTTCTTTCTTTCACTGCTCGACTTTGGAATTCCCTCCTCCCATCATCACCATCATCATCACCATCATCATCACCATCATCGTCTCTTTCGCCGCCAACCTCTTAGAGTAAATAACCTCGCTCAATGCACGCAGGGCATGACGAACTCTTTATCACAATATTCAAGAGTGCTGTTTGTTCCTGGCCGTTCGGCGTTTTGAGTCTTTGGACCTGTGCTCCCCAGTCGTGAAAAGACATTCCCCCCCCCCAGAATTTATCCCCAAAAAAAATCTCCCACCACTCGGGAACGAAACGTCGGACACCGTGCCCAACAACACGCCCGTACAGCTAGGGTTGCCACCTCTGATGTTCGAAAAAACCGGGACACGTGAGGAGGAAGCCGAGGAGGAATTTTCCACACGAGAAACGACCGCGTGAGTACATCGCATTTGAGTGGTGGGATATATGTCTATTATTACCGTGCGATTGTGCAACTGACAAAAAAAAAAACTGGAACTGGACTTTAAAAATATCCCATGTCCGAAGACAGCAGCTGCCTTCTTAACAACAACAACAACGAGGATAGATGATCCTGAGAAAACCCGGGACAGGTGGCAACCCTAGACGACTCGCTACATCCACAGCGGAGAGCTTCAGCACCTTGGCCGGTTCGCGACGCACGGTCGCAGAACCCCGATGACAAATCACGCGGCAAAAATCACGCGGCAATGCGGGTTAATCGTTTGAATTATTGTTGTTAGTATTATTAGTAGTATTATTAGTATTATTATTAGTATTATTAGTATTATTACTAGTATTATTAATAGTATTATTAGTAGTGTTATTAGTATTATTAGTAGTGTTATTAGTAGTATTATTAGTAGTAGTATTAGTAGTAGTATTAGTAGTATTAGTAGTATTATTAGTAGTATTAGTAGTATTATTAGTAGTATTATTAGTATTATTATTAGTATTATTAGTAGTAGTATTAGTAGTATTAGTAGTATTATTAGTAGTATTATTAGTATTATTAGTAGTATCAGTAGTAGTATTATTAGTAGTATTATTAGTAGTATTAGTAGTATTATTAGTAATATTATTAGTAATATTATTAGTAGTATTAGTAGTAGTATTAATAATAGTAGTATTAGTAGTATTAGTATTATTAGTAGTAGTATTAGTAGTATTAGTAGTATTAGTAGTATTAGCAGTATTATTAGTAGTATTATTAGTAGTATTACTAGTATTATTAGTAGTATTATTAGTAGTATTATTAGTAGTATTATTAGTAGTATTACTAGTATTATTAGTAGTAGTATTATTAGTATTATTAGTAGTATTACTAGTATTATTAGTAGTAGTATTGTTAGTAGTAT